TTGCAGAGGCAGATGATGGGGTGGTGACTGGCGTGAGGGAGGTCCTGAGGGCGCTGACTAGTTCCTCGAGGACCTCTGCGGTGGATGGAAGACGGGGATCCATGGAGGTGTTGGTTCTGGTCCAGTCTTCTGTCACAAACAGGCAAGAGACAAGAGGAGTTCAGGTAAACAGAGGGGTTTATTGTCAATGCTGTGATGGTTAGGATCGAAGGCAGGGGAGTAAGAGAGATATGAGAGAGTTCTGGGTATCTTAGCTTCTTGGTAATCTAGGTTATGATAGTCGTAGGAATCCTGGAGATGAACCGGGGCCGAGGAGAATCGGAATAGCGGAGACTGAAGTGACTTCTGGAGGTAAGGAAACAACAGTTAGTAAAGCTTGTAAGGAGTCTGGCAATGTTCAGGTAGTGAACGGTAGACCGGACACTGGAATGCTGAGTGGAGTGAGAAGATATAGCGGGCTTAATTGGTGATGCAGGTGCAGGTGATCAGAATTCGGGTGATTGCGATGATTTCCTGACACCCAGGTGTGTGTTCTGCGTGCACACTTACTGGGGCTTAATCCAGTCATCAGTGTCAGGACTGCTGGGCACCGTTTCCCTTCCAAACATCAAATCCCCCTCTCTAATGCTCTTACTATATAATGAAAACTCCAATCCCACTCAAAGAGCATTAATTAAAAACAAAGTCTCATTGAAGCACTCATGGAAACCGGACTTTGCAAAAACCAGCTCAATGACTGCCATTAACAGGAAGCTTTTTTTACTTGCGGTTGGACTCTCATCTATAAGGAGATAAAAGGTGATGTCACCAAACATATGCCATTCTTTTTACTTGTATTTAAAGGTATACAGATGGACTAGATGAGTAGTTTTCAACAAGTGGGTTGTGAACCAAAAATTGGTTCTAATGGAATAGCAAAATAAATAGGTTTATTAAAAAGTATTTTTTAAAGTTTTCTTGTCTAAAAAGTCTGTACATCCAGTTCTACAGTATTTTTGTGCAAATTTATTTGAAGTTAGCTACACTACCAAAGAAATGAATACTTTTATTCAGCAAAGATGCTTAATAGTTTTTGGTTTCCTCAAAAATATTAAGCAGCACAACTGTTTTCAACATTGATAATCATAAGACGTCACTTGAGAACCAAATCAGAATACTATAATGATTTCTGAAGGATCACGTGACACTGAAGACTGGAGTAATTGCTACTGAAAATTCAACTTTACCATCAAAAAAATTTATTACATTCTAAAATATTATAATAGAAAACATACACTAAAAAGATTTTAGTGTATTTTTAATCAATAAATGCTGCCTTGGTGAGCATAAGAAACTTCTTTTAAAACGTAAAAAAAAAAAAAATAAATAAAAAAAATATTATTGGCCTGTAGTGTAAGTTAGGTAAATGCCAACATGGTCAGCTTTTTTGACGTCCCCTCATCAATGAAAACCAAGAAAAAAACTATCCAAGACAACATTAAATTTAGCCAATTATCCTATTCAGCCATATTATTTCGGTTTATTTTACTATATCAAAATTCTTTCCTTTAAGGACATTTTTGCTCATTTTATTTACTGTGTTTGGTCGCCACTTAATATTCAATTCAATTAAAAAAAAAAATTGATTTGTCTCAAAAGCTGTCTAGAGAGTTAAGTGGATTAGCTGGGATGAGTCTTTTTAATTTTTTTTTAATTTCTCTTATATTTGCAGCTGGCTATATGAACTTTCCCAATCTATAAAACACATACTGTAGTGTGAAAGCCTTGTGTACTAGTACATAACTTATTCCCCTAATGCTTTAATTTTGCTGCATAACAGTAAAATGATGTAAATAAGGGTTGCCCTCAAAAGAAAAGCAATGTTGTGCTCAATTAGGCTGCTGTCCAAGCTAGTCCAGAAGGGGAATAAATGGTTTTATTTGAGCATTCAAGAGACATGGTGGTCTTATTTCCAATCCCTTAAGCTCTAGTCTAGCCTTATGTCATTTATATGTGCCTCCAAGCCTTTTCCAACACCAAACTGATCTGAGAAGCTTTTTTGAGTTGGTTTTGAGAAATTCTGCACTCAATGGCAAATGTGAACACCATTTTTAATCTTGGATGCGAAGCAGCTCATTAATGTTGCTTAAATTTATGTTCAGGAAAGTTAATTAGCAATATTTATAAATCCTTTCCTTGACTGTAAGCAAAAAGTGAAATTTCATAGCCATTTTAGATTAGATAAATGATATTGGCATTTTTATTAGCCATTTATATATATAGCATGGTCAAAGATTGCTGTTTATAAACCAAATTATTAAAACTAACAATGATTTCACTATCAATAATAATTTCCACA